ATCATTCAATGTAAATTGTGATAATCGTAATTAATAATCGCAATTGCAATTTCAAGGGAATAATCGACAATTAGCCGTAATGTACAGGTATGATATGTGCAAATTATTCAAGCAGATGTGCCTGTCATCAGTTTTTATTGCAGAAGAATTTTATTATATTGTGTTTTCATGTTAAACAACTAAACTTTCGACAGTCCTTTTGGTGTTAGACTATGATTCATTTCAAGGAATCAGTTGAAATGGTCAATCTCAAAGAATCAATTCAAAGTGATTCAAATTTATTTGCATCAGCACAGCAGCTCCTACATTATATTTTCATGTTTTTAAAAAGTATATGGAAGTGAATGTTGTGGTGTTTATTATTTCTTTATTGCTATATTCATGCATATTAATGAAAATTATTAAATATTATTCTTCCTTATGTACATTTAGTGGATTTTTTCAAGTATGTTACTTCTTGCATTAATTTTATTTGATCTGTAATACACCAAATACACAAAATAATGATCTTTAAAAAAGCATCATATGACCCCTTTAAATCATAGTCCCTCTGATTTACAAAATGTCTCTTTTAAGCAATTTTAGAGCAAATACTGTACATAAATTAGCTTGAATAATCACAATCCAGCTCCACCTGAGCGAACTGGTTTTCACACAGACCCTTTGAGGTCTAAATGGCCCTTTTCATTCTGCCGCTCACTGGCCCTCATCCAACAGGGAAAGAGAAACAATGATCCAGTCTTTCTGTACAAATCCATGGAATCACATCTCATTTCCATTTGCACTTGAATGCAGCTCGCTTCTGAAAGTCTTTGAGAGCTTTTAGAGTGCATTTATGTAACAACAACAACACCAACAACAACAATTCCTTAAACCATTAAATTAAGGTTTTACCTCTGAGCTGCATCCACAGTTTGTTCCCAGTCCTGTAGCGTCAACAGCAGCTTCATCTTCTTGACCAGGGCAGGTAGAAAGGACGGGTAACTCACAATCACCTGGTTAATGGTCTCTAAAGCACCAGAATAATTCTGACGAAATTCATAATAATGTACCTGACAGAAAGACACAATTAGAGCATTACAAAACAAATTGCATTGCCTTTCATTTATGCACAATACAATATTTTATTTTTATTACTGCTATTTAATTGCCATGAAAACAACGCCTCCTCCTTTTTCATTATCTCTAACATAGTTTCCCACGTTTCTTATATTTTTGAGATGAAGTGTAACCTAGACATGAAATTTCACTTCAACATTTATCAGCCTCTGAATCACTTACTTTAAGTTGATTCTACATGGTATTTTAAAAAGTATTAATATATATTTTTTAAATTACACACATCACCTTTATGATGTAAACCTTTGAAAAAAGTAAATCAAAAATGTGCATCGATATAAGTGAACATCAATCAGGACATTTCTGTTTGTTGAACTATTAAATGGTGATCAGAAATAGAGTTACCTTCCCCATCAGAGCAAAAATGTCGCTTTTCTCCTTCAGGGCCTCGTCAAAGTATTTCCCAGACTTCTTTGCATAAGCATCTTTGTTAGATCGTAGATCAATCCAGCCTTTCAGTACAATTCCCTACAAAACAATGATCCCAATATTAAAAAAAACAGCAAAATATGTGGACAATCTGGAAATCATCAGTGTTATTAGTTATCATAGAGATACTTTTATAGTTTTTAATAATATTTTGAATTAGATTGTCATTTTTCGTTTTCATTTTAATTAGATTTTTAGTAATTGTGTTGTTTTTTTAATATTCGTTTTATTTATTTTTATTTCAGCACATTAAACTAAGATAAATAAATAAGACTAAATAAAAATGAAAAAAAGTTTATGGTTTTAGTTTTTTTTTTTTTACTATAATAGCCCTGATAATCACTACATTTAAAGGAGTCATACTATACTTTTGGAGCCCTGATGTTTAAATAAATATTAATATATATTTTTGATGAACTGAAACAGTCATAGTGTTATATGATCACCATGAATGAACAGGCCAAATTTAATAATGCATCTTGCTGCATAATTTGCAAGATGCAGAATTTTTTCCCGCTATTAGACTTATGCTTATGATGCAGGCAGATTGATCAGTCCTTTCGCCATCATGAAAAGCCGCCTCAGCAGAAATCTAAAGGGTAGACGCATTAGAAAAGTTCACCTCTTTAGAGCCACTGGAGATCTTGATCATTCTGTCCACATACTCTCTGGCTTTGTCATTGCGGCCCAGCAGCCACAGCAGCATGCCAGCGTAATACAGAGCTTTGGGACTCGCAGTCTTCCTCTCCTCCTTCACCCTTCCATCCAGCTCCTGGATCACATCACGGTCTACAGGAAAGACACCTTTTGTCATTATTTATTCACATTCATATCATTCCAACCCTGTATGCTAATACATTTTCCATGCAACACAAAGGATTTTTAAAGAGACATTTAATACTGACATCACAAGTAATCCGCACAACTCCAGTCCATCAGTTAACATCTTGTGATGTAAAAAGCTGCATGTTTGCAAGAAACAAATCATTAAGATGTGTTTAACTTCAAACCCTTGCCTCTGGCTAAAATACAAGTCCTCCATTCATAATAGTGCTTTCTTCGGTGAAAAAGTCATCTCGTTTGAATCAGGAGAGAAATATGCAGAGATCAAGCACCGTTTACAAGTTAAAACAGCCCAAAATAGCTCTGAACAAATATGTTGGTAGATTTTGATGTGAGACGACAACAGAGGATACACTTTTTCACTGGAGGAAGCGTTATTATGGATTATGGACTTGTATTTTGGCCAGAAGCAACGGTTTAAAATTAAAATGCCTTAATGATGGATTTGTTTCTTACAAACATGCAGCTTTTCACTACACAAGATGTTAACTGATGGACTGGAGTGGTGTCTGTGGATTACTGTGTGTGATGTTTTTATCAGCTTTTTGGACTCCATTCTGACGGCACCCATTCACAGTAAACTATTCCGTTAATCAACACATGCAAAAGATCTACCAGGGTTTGGTCTTTTCTTGTGGGCATAAACCAGAGCCATGAGCACACAGAGGGAAACGTCTCCTCTCTCCTTCAGCTGCTCCAGCTCCTGAATGGCATCCAACACTTGATCTACAACAATAAAATAACAAAGAAAAAACAGACGCCAAGGGTTTCAGACCATTTCTCAAGACATCAAATGAAGACAAATAATCGAAAATGGCGGGCTTTCCTCACCTTGCATGAGCAGCCCATAAGCGTGGAGGAATGCGAAGACTGAATCATGACTGAACTTCCGTTGAGCTTCACTGGAAACATCTACAACATGACTGGAGTACTTTTCCTGGCAGTAGTATAAGATCAATGCCTGAAATTCACAATAAATTCAACGGGGTTAACCGAAAATGTAAGTATGTCTAATAGTACACTGTGTGTACTGACTACAGGTGCATCTCAATAAATTAGAATGTTGTGGAAAAGTTCATTTATTTCAGTAATTCAACTCAAATTGTGAAACTCGTGTATTAAATAAATTCAATGCACAGATTCACAATTTGAGTTGAATTACTGAAATAAATGAACTTTTCCACGACATTCTAATTTATTGAGATGCACCTGTATATGTATGTGTATATTGCACATTGTCATCTGTTGAGGTCTGTATGTTTATATGTAAATTGTTTCTGCACTGTCTGGAGCACGCTCCCAAGAATTTCACTCACCAAGGCACATGTGCTGTGGTGATGTGACAATAAAAGTGACTTGACTTGAAAATACTGTATTTTTACGCTGATTAATTGGGTCAATCCTACTATGCAGCACATTTTAATTATTCCAGTATACTGGAAAACCATATATTATTAAACAAGCAACTTTTCAGATCAAAACTTGACTAGTCATTTATTTAAAAATATTATAGGTGTTTCTTTACTCTGTAAAACGTCCTGTATCATATGTAATACATACATTTCTAAATAAGATAAATGATCAACATGTCAAAACTTCGCTGTTGTATCTGATTGATAGTTTAGAATTTTTAGCAAGTAAAAGGCCTTTTAGTTTAATTGTAAAAACATCCACCTTTAGCTCGTGGTTCACGTGTCTTTTTTCTGTGAAATCTTTACTGATTTTATAAAGTAAACATAAGAATAACTTCTATATTGTTAGTAATATTTCAAGATGAACACGTACTGGACTGAACTTGAAATTATTGGGCATAATTATCCGTACCAAAAAAGTGAGTTCAAATGTAGGTATCATCATAATGCTCTTGAGGAACGTATTTGTTTATATCTCAATCATCATTGTGAGTATGAGCTCCATCACTATATCATATTATTATACGAGCCATAAAAGCTTGATGTTGCAAATATGATACAGAACATAACATAATAAACTGTTCCATTAATAAAATAGATTTTTCCAACTATTACTTCATGTGTCAGGCTTTACAGGGTTGCTTTTTCCAATCGAAATTTCTGAAACAGTACGTTAAGTTATGTTTCTTTGAGTAACGTTATGAATGTTTCAACTGGTATTTAATTTATAGGTTTTTTTTCATCGTCCCTTCCTCTAACTTATGCAGATATGAAAGAAACATCTCACAAACTACATGTATTTCCACAAAACATTCTGGTGCTCGGCTGCATTATTATTATGAGCACTAAACGATAATTTCTCATTACTTACAAGCGCGCATTCCTCATCATCAACCCCCGCCATAATGTCACACACTGCAGCCGTCAGAACAACTCTGGAAACATACAAAACAGACGATTCTGTGCGGAGAGGGTCTTTCTATCCCGTTCTCGCCACCTTTGATAAGCAGATGAAGCATCATAGTAACCAAACAAACTCCGCTATTTCCGCTTGGAAACCAGGAAGTGACGAGTCAGTGAGACAGTGGCGCACTTCTACTTGCTCACCGCAGGGTGGCGCCACAATCTCGTTTTTATTTGGAGCTTAGACACGCACGTGTGTAGACATCAGTTACAAATATTTAGAACATATACATTTATGAATATAGGTTACTCTTTGAATTTAGACCCTTCTCACTGTAAATTTATTATTCATCTTTTGCTATATCTTGCTAAATTTTACATTCATAAGTGTACATTTTCAAAGAAAACTCGCTACTTTTTTATTTTCAGGAAAGATTTTGATGTGTATGTAAACTCTTTAAGAAACTCTAATAATTCTATTGCATGTAAGACTCTTTCATGGTGTAAGTCTTATAAGCTAACATAGTATGCTTTGGAGTATTGTTTGTAACCCTTATTGTCTTTTGTTCTTACTTGTCTTTGTAATTGTATTTGTTGTTCTTCTATTGCATAAAAAAAAAATTATGAATATATATTCATATGGCGTTTCTAACATCAAAATATGTCATTTATTAATACAATATTTTATAAAAAGAACCAAATAGTTTTCCGAATTACATCTACCTTTCACCTGGTGACATAGCCTGCCTAACTCCTTCACTGAGGTGATGCTTGACTTCGGCTCTTTCCCCTTTTGCATTGATCTGCATGTAAAAGTGAGCTCGGGCTGTTTTGAATAGATGCAAACTGTGCTGCTTCTGCTGTGGCGGTTCAGTCTCTGAATCTCTGAATCTCTCAGCTGAATGAGTCTCATCAGCACACGACTGAACTGTGGTCAGAGCTGAAGTGTGTGGCACACAGATTGCTGGTGTTTCAAAACCCATCCATCTCTGGGCACTGCACTGGTTTTTCTCAACTGGTTTTGCTTCAGGACTCAACTTCATAACTGTTACTAGGATATCAAATGAAAGTATTTACTGAAAATGTATGAATATTGGCACAAAATATGAGTTTCTAAATGTCTTTTGAATTTAATTTCATGCTATATATTTATATATAGACAGATAAATATATAGTGTCCAAAGGTTTGGGGTCGGTGAGATGTTTGTTTATTTATTTATTTATTTATTTGAAGTCTCTTTTGCTCACCAGGGTTGCATAATTTGGTTAAACAAATACAGTAAATGCAGTACTGTTGTGAAATATTATTACAATTTCAAATAAGTGTTTTCTATTTGAATATGTTTTAAAATGTAATTTATTTCTGTGATGCAAAGCTGAATTTTCAGCATCATTACTCCAGTCTTCAGTGTCACATGATCCTTCAGAAATCATTCAGATATGCTGATTTGCAGCTTAGGAAACATTATCAACTTTGAAAACATTGTGCTGCTTAATATTTTTGTGGAAACTGTGATGAAATGCATTGATGAAAGCTTATTTTTTTTCTTTTAAAAAATGAATAAAAAAATAAAATAAACGGTTGAACAGTATATATATGATATGATATACTTTTTTTTAAAGGGGTCATAGGATGCCCATTTTCCACAAGTTGATATGATTCTTTAGGGTCTTAATGAAAAGTCTAGCATAGTTTTAACATAGTTTGGTTAAAATTTCTCAATGTTAGTGTAAAAAACACCTTTTTTACCCTGTCAAAAACAACTCTTTTCAGATCAAGCCGTTTTGTAGCATTTTCCTT